AGCAATTGGTAGTAAAAAAAATAGGCGTGTACATTCCAGCGTTCAAGTTTAGAAATAAATTTTCAATAAAATACATAGAAGAAAATTTACTAAAAAACAATTTGGCAATGGACTTACCATTTTTGTGAGATAAAAATAAGCTACATTCATGGGAACTCATGAAAATATCACAAGTTTGTACTTTGAACTTGCGAAGAAAATTTAAACGGCGAGGTTTTTATGAAAAAGCAGTTAAAAGTTCAAAACCTATTTACAATTTTTTTAAATTCCAAATAGTCCGGCCCACTTGACATAGGATATCCTTTCCAGCTTTATGGGGCGGTTTAACATTAGAACATTTCCGCCACCAGAACAACTCCGTTTTGTGGGCAAGAGCGGCGGTGGAGTGAGGTTTTTTTTTCGTTACCTTAATTCACAAAGGCCCTAATCAACAAATTTTTTATTTTGCAGGAGCAGCAAAAAACATTATAAAAAGAGCATCAAAAACAGCTAGGGCATTTTAAAAAGTTGCAAGTAACTCCGTTGGTTTTTGGTACCAGAGCTTTAAAAATTTTACAAACAATCTGGAAAACCGCAGTTTGATAAAAAGCAGAAACGGTAATCATTATGAGTAAAATGATTCAAATCAGCATTTAAACATTATTTTATGATTTTTATTTTTTTCTTTCAAAAATACAAATTATTATTGAGTTTTATTTTTTCGCTCAACGGAAAGAATTATTATTTGATAATTTTTTTTTTTTGAATCAGAGATAACAATTATTTTTCCAAAAGTTATACAGACACAGCCTACTGAAATTTTGGCACTTATTCCTTTTATTGGGGTGTCGCTACATCTAAAAAGGATACATCGGAAATCAAGCTTTTGGGTTTTTCGAATGATCATTATTCTTTAGTGAAAAAATAAAACTCAATAATAATTATTATCTTTCAGCGAAAAAATAAAAATTATAAAATAATCATCATTTTTAATCGAACAAATAAAAATCAAGCAATAATAATTTCCTTTGAGCAAAAAAATAAAACTCAAATATTAATTATTATTTTTAATCGTTATTCATTTAATCGAAAAATAAAAAGCATTGTAAATGAAAGTAGGCGTACGAACACAAATACGTGAGTATAGGTAAAATTTGTTTTACGACAATTACAACATCTTGATTTTTTTTGGTTAAAATTAGAAAAATAATGGTTATTTTCAGTCGCTGGAAAAAAGTGTTGGTTAGGGCCTTTGTGAACTAAGGTAGAGCGATATGTAAAAAATTATCGAACGCCGAGCTACCGAGTACCATGCAGTGTGAAAACCCCTAGTGAGAATAATTAATCTGTCAATGTGGGGTGAAAAGGCCCCATAGGCATATTTCAACCGTACAAAATGGCTTCATCGATAGAATTTGGATATCAATATCGATAGATTTCATTTCATACCGGAAACGCGGTTATGAGTAGTTATTTCTAATAGCGTTTTCATGCTAATACATTCGTTTATACTTTTCTAACCCCAAAGCGTTTTATTGTGCAGAAAATCAAAGTATCAAAACCCATCCATTATTAAGAATTAATTAATTAGCAAGTATAAAAAGCGACAGCCTTGCCACCGTAAAAAAATGAAATTCTCCTGTAAATACAATAGTTCATAGACAAAGTAGATTATGTAGTGTAGCATATTAGAAAAAGTTGAAGTAAAAATTTAAATTAAAGGCAAATTTAAATTTAAAAATCAACAACAACTGAGCGTACTGAGTACCGTTTTAAAATTAATGTTAAGCCGTAATATTTGATGATCTTTAAATGGCGTTGGAATGTTACATACATATTGTTGGAAAAATAGCAAATATTTTATATTTACCCAATTTATAATTTCTTGAAGAAAAGTTTTTTCTCATGCTAAGGAAGCAGGCAGTGGCCGGTTAAAGGCAAATGATGTTTTTCACTTGAATGAACAAAAGAATCAAAACAGTAGTTAGCTCTTAAATAAAGTTTCAGTTAAATTTTTACTCCGGCACTGCGTGCTGCCACCGTTACCACGAACTATATGCATTTTTTGAAACCACCTACTCGTCAGTTAATTCTCAAACGTGCAGCAATCGTAAAATCTCCAACTTTTCTCTAAAATTTTTTCCCCCAATTGTACTCCACTAAACCTGTTAACCTACTGTTGGTAATTGGAATATCTTCAATTCAATCACCACTAACCACTTGTGCGGGTCTGTAAATTGATTAACAAATTTTCTTAATAATTTAAAAAAAAAACTAAAAGCAAAGCTATACAATGCAAAGATATACATACATACATACATACATACACATATAGCGGAGTTATTATTAAATAATACAATTAAATGCAGACATACACATGTATGTATGTATGTAAAATAGTAGTATATGAGTATTAATTAAAATGAGTGCGCAAGTATGAAATATACATACTTGTAAGTATGTATGTCTGTATAATAGGTTAGTTATTAAAAATACATATGTATGTACATGCATACATGTTTACAATAACGGATATGACAAACAACGTAATAGAAAACAGACGAAATTTAATTATAAACAAATTTTAGTAATAATTAAGAAATAGATATTGAATAAAATTAAAAACCAACCATTATAGCTACATGAATACGAAAACCAAAATCAAATAATGTAAAAACAAATTTAATTAAATGAAATTACTTTAAGTAGAAACTGAAGCGCAAAAGATGCAAATACTTTGATAAAAAAAAAACCCCCCAACATATTATTTGAGAAAACGTTTGTTTCTAAGTTAACAAGCAATTCTAATTCATAGAAAACGTAGTGAAATAATTAATTGTGAAAATTATTCAATGTCGAATAAATCCAAATACAAATTACACAATTCATTATTTGAAATGAAAGCGGAAAGCAAAAAAAAAAACATTAAACCGGAAAGAAAATAAATGTTGTAATCAATCAAACACCGACAAGTTAAAGAATATATGTATTGCAGAGTGAAGTATGAAAAATAAAATAAGCAAAATGCAATGTAATTAAAAACTCAATTAAAGTTTAAAAGAAAGGAGATTTTCCAGAAATAAACAAATTAAAGAATACAAAATAATGTTGAGTCTGGTTTTAATTTGCAGCGCTCTCCCAACGACTGATTTTTCTTTTTCAGCCATAAGCATCTAGATGTATTGCCGCATCAAAAACAAAATTTAAAAAAAAAAATCGCTTACGTTATTTTGGTGGTTGGGGCTCGATATAGGGAATTAATGCTGGAAAGATGTTTGAAAAGAATTTCCCACTAGGCATTAAATGGCAAAACCGACAAATGACAAGGTCGGGCATTAAAGAATAATCGTGTCATTACATTAAAAAAATAGTCATTAAGTTCATTTCCACTTGGCATTTTTTTAAATGGCATACATTTTTTGTCATATCAATGCCTAGTGGAAATTCAGCATAATTCACAATTCAAAGTTTGTGTGAAAATGCAAAGTTTGATCAAGTGGTATACATACATATGTACATACATACATACATATTTGGTAAAAAAAAAACAGATGGAAATTCACACATGCTGCGAGTAAAATAATGGCAGAAAAATTCGAAATTATGCTGTTGGCAACCTATGTCTATTTATGTATTGTTAATAATTTTCATTTAAAATATGGGTTGATCTACATTTGAAGGGGTTAAAATCATAAGGATCTAAGTAACATTTTACCTCCCTTTTTTTAGCTCGGGATGTAACTATGTAATATTGATGCGCCTAAAAGATGCAGCGATTTCTATTCTCAATTTACATACCTGTTGACAGTACGAATGGAAATTATAATAGCGAGGTTTTAGTTTTTTAAACTATAATTTTATTTTTAAATATAAGTTATGCCCATATTTGTATAGTTAACAATAGCGTTTATTTGGTGAGAAAGAGTAAATATTCTTTGAATTATTTAATTAACCTGCATTCATTTAGGCAAGAATCATTTCAAATGCATTTACCCAGAATTTACAATAAATAATAAACTTTAACCTTAATTATCTCAAAAAAATTTCAAATCTACTTAGCTCCTTTTGATTCTAACCCCTTCATTTGTAGTACCCTGCCCACCTTTACTTCATACACTTTAAAATATTTCTGCTTCAAGATTGTATGAAATAAAAGTGTGAAGTGTATGAACTAAAGGTGAGCAGGATAGCATATCAGAAACCACATTAATAAATTTTCCAAGTTTGCACAAAGTTCCTAAAAACTAATAAAATAAAATGCTCGTCAAAATTTCGATTTTTTAATTCGATTTCTTCGGAAAATTTTCAGTATGCAGTTTTGTAGCCCATTTAATTTAGATTTTTTTTTGGGTTTAGGAGAGTGTTGCGCGTTTTCATCCATATAACGCATGAACCAAGTTTATTTTTATGTGGAACAAAATGCACAACACCCTCCACAAAAAAATTCGAAAAAAAATCTAAATTTTGATGAACATTTTTTTACGTTTAATTAGTTTTTGTGAACTTTTGGTAAGCTTTTAAACTTCTATTAATGTGGTTTCTGATATAGATCAACCCATGATAAAAACATTACAAGGTAAATTCATTCTCTCAATTCGTCGGCCATGATTTTTTTCTGAAGTTTGCCAACATTTTATAATCATAAAATAATTGAAAATAAAAAAATTAAATTGTTCACAATTGTTGTTGTTTGAGATTGCAAATGAGAATGTGTGTGTGAGTTCGAGTTTTGAATTTTAAAATTATATTGTTGGCAAACGTCAGACTGCCTCTCAATGGTTTTACCTTGTTATGTTTTTATCATGGATCAACCCATATCTAAATCAAAAATTTTTAACAATAAATAAACAAACATAAGTTGCCAACAGCTTCATTGGAATTTGGCTGCTATTATTCTGTTGTACTGAACATATTCTCCTCATCAAGCTTATTAGTTGTATGATGAAATCTCCAAAAATGTAAATTTTGAAATAACTCTCTTTCTTGTTAAACGTGCGATATGTATACTGCTTGTATATTCAAATAAAGTATGTATACAAAATCGATTCTTTATTAAAAACGAAATACAATATTTAACACAGTTTGCCGAAATTTCATAGTGCTAGTTTGGTGGCTTAAAACAAATCTAAAAAATTGTATATTTAGAAAAACTTACTTAGTAAACGGTTAAGTATTATCTTTGGGTGCAAAACAGTGACATATAGCAGCAAACATCATTTAGTAAATTATATACTAAATCATTTAGTGAACTCGTAGGCTTCTTGGTTTTTATGAAACACAGTCTTCATAAAATGCTGTCCTATTTCGCGCGTCGATCGTCTTAAACTGCTCCGCAATGAGTGTTTCCGGTCTCCCTCTGCCTTCGGCAACAATTCCGCCTTGAGTTTCATACTACGTTCACTGGTATCAATAATGGATATTTCAGCTTTGACCGCAGCCGCCTTTTCTGTGCAAATTGTCGTTTTGGGCGCCGCTTTGCGTCGCAAGCTATTACGAATAAATTTATATGCACCAATGTGTGGTTGCTTTTCTTTTGTTTCTACTTCTTCATTTTGCAAAAGGTGCTGCTGCTTTTCAACCGATTTTTTCTCTGCTATGTCATCATGCTTGTTTGGATGCATCAGTTTTCTTAGAGACTTACGTATTATGTTTCGTACATTTAATGATTTTTTATGGTCTGTCGCCGAGTTACTTGAGCCAGTGGAATGTAGCGACTCTTTGCTGCCAGTTGCATCTTGTGGATTAATGCGATGGTAGGCGCGCACAAACGGTGCAGGGACTCTGAAATCTATCTCTTCATCATCAGAATCAGACGCATAGGCAACATCTTCAGTTTTTAATTCATCATTAACATGTTCGATTTGTGCTTTTCCAGATATTTCTGTATCATGTGACTGAATTGTAAACTCCTCGGTTGTAGTAGTTTTTATAATCTCGTCTTTGAAACTCTCATTTTCCTTCTCTTCATCTTCTTCAACTATCTCTGCCAATCTTTGTGTAAAAGTTATTTTTTGTTCCACATCTACTTGTAAAGTTAATTCGCTCGTTTGGGAATCCATGCATGTACCATTGGTTTTGCGCATTTTTGCCTCGTTGATACTGTTTTCCAACTCAAGCTGGTAACGATCCAATTCTTTTCCAATATCCATGCTACTCTCTTCGCTTGCCGAATCCAGTGAACGCTTCGGTACCGCTAGAACCGGAGAAAATACAAGCTTATCTGCTAGCAGTTTGGTAGGAGTTAATTGTTCAATGGGTATGTTTGAAAAGTCGATGCGGCAGCCCAAAGTAGGCTTAAATGGTAAAACTATTTTTAAGTCAGTGGGCACCGCTGGGCCGTCATCTAGACCGCGATTTTCGACACCAACAACAGCAGTAATGGGCTGAACATTGGTACAACGTTGGATCTCAAAAGGGTTACGCGTAGAAGATGCATCTTGTGATCGTAGATTTAATGCGGCGTTTACAAAGCAATTTGACTGTATCACA